ATCACCGCAGGACAGAGAAAAAAAGTAAAAGGAATATTCTTATAATAGCTTTTTTTTCTATCTCTCCCGCAGCGAGCCTCAACACCGCGTCGCGGTATCTCAAAACGAATCGGTGGCTCGTGCGTCCAGGCAGTGCGGCGCGCGCGATATTTGTTTCCCCTCTTTTCTCTATATAGCTTCCACAGATCGGAGGGAGGGTGGGTCGACTGGCTGGCTGGCTCCGATACATCAGCTTCATGCATAATAAATTTTGGGATCCATGTCGCGCGTTTTCTCTCTCTCTCTCTCTCTCTCTCTCTCACTCACTTTCAAAGGACAGAGAAAAACGTCCGAAACAAAATGGGAAATTGCGCCAAGCTAGCTCCGAGGAAAAGGAAAATTTCGCAATACGCAAGAAGGGATGCGCCAGCAGCGGGTCAGAAAAAACGTGTGGGCTCAACTGGACCTATACATAGCCGGAGCGGGATGCTTGTAAAAGAATATATATGAGCAAGACGCGCCGGTCTTTGAGTAATACATAACTATATATCAAGGCAAAAGTTACGAGTATTCGTTTTCTAACTTTGCCATCAAATTGTTGCGGCTAATACATTAATACGATCGAATCGGTCGCAGGCTCAAAATGTATACCTTGTGTGTATATAAATTGAATTGGCCGCCGCGCGCGGACATTTTAGTGAAATTAGAAGCATGAATCTTCGATGAGTGATTACATTATGACGATAATAATAATCATTGGACAATCAATTGTGTTGATTAATTTATATTAGATGAATTAAAATAAATCAAAACCAGCCATAACCTTTGATCGACAAGTGGTACAAGGTTGTTATAATAAAAATAAAAAATGAACGTCAAGAAAGTGAAAGCTCGCGCGCTGCGCCGGTAAAAAAGAAACGAAAGGAGAGAAAAAATAGCACGGTTATATAGCAGAGAGGGTGTATATAATATATGTATATCGCAAATGTATAAGAGCGAGAGAGAAGGGAAGAGAGAGAAAGAAAGAGAGAGAAATGGCTACATAGAGCGGTGGCTTTTTTCGCTTAATGCGAGTAATGATACTTTTCGCCCGAGCCTTTTCTTCGCTCGCAAGGCACTCTATATACTTTCAGAGCTACTCCCTCTACCCCCTAGACCGGCCCGATACTCACACACACACACACACACACACACACACACACACATATACCGGCATCAAGCTCTCGAGAGCTTGTGTACGAATAGTAGCATTAGTGGTAGTACAGTATAGTGGTAGTTGAATAAGTAGAGGACGAAGTAGACGTCGTACAGAAAACCTCCATTAAAGTCCCTGGAAGTGATTAGTACTCCTGACATCATCGTCTCTTTTCGTTTTTCCCCCACCCACTACCTCCTTCCATCCTACCTTTTTTTAGCCTCTCCATTTTCGCTCACCTTAACTCTTTTTTTTCTTCGCATTTATTCTTCTCGGTTTCGTTCCCCCCCATATAACACAAAATACTATCGCGTCGCTCCGTCATCGATGAAAATTACACAACGCTCGAGCGCATTTTAATTAATCCCTTTCATTAATGATAATTTTCGCCAGAAATTCGTTCGTATAAAGATCTCAATTTTGTGCACGGGGTATAGGTGGAGAGGGGCCATGTATATGCGCTTATACCGGTATTGTTTTTCCCTTGTCTACTGCAGCAGCACGCGTGCTTTTCTTTACTCTCTCGCTCTGCCACATCGTATATAGAGAGAGAGCCTAGGCAGTAGTGAGCCACAATCCCATTAAGACTCTTCCAATCAACGGCTCTTTCAATTTTCTCTCTTTGCTCGGGCTCTCTAGCTGCTGGCAGTTCGTTCGTGTGCACACACACAGACTAACACACATACATGCGCGTACGTTTACGTATATCCTATGGGTAATAGCTATTTCGTGTGGTTATTTAAGCCTAGGCAAAACGAGTCAATTATTATTATAATACTTTTCATTTAACCGCACGCGCTCGAACGTACGGGCTCATTAGTTAATGCATAAATCCGCAAGCAGGTCGTGTGCACTACGAGTTCGCGCGTATACCAAAGAAAAAAATTGCTCCGCTTTATATAAATCAAGCGATAATTACGCGAAGAAGGATATAAGCAAGGCACGCGAGTTTTACACCTCATAGCGAACTGCCTTACACAAAAAAAGAGAAAGAGCGAAAAACATTGCGTGAGCGCACACCCCGAAGCTTTCATCAGAAATTAATCAAAGCTCGCGCTCACGCGCTCTTATATAAGATTGGATTTAAAAAAAGTTATTGTGCTTTGTTGTTGTTGTTTTTGTTGCCGCACTTTCGCGTTCAATTTGTGAAGAAGAGGCAAAGAGGTGAGAGACAGCTGGAGAAACGACTGCGTGAGTTAGCGTGCGTGTGAATGCATGTGTGTATGCGCAGTGCACGTATATAAAGGCCTTTCATTAAACTTATACGAGCTTTGGCAAGCGACTGCACGCCTCTAAATCAGAGCAGTGCAGTGGCATCAAAAACGATGTAATTTTTGTAATGGGGAGGTGTGGCTTTATCCGTGTGTGTCTGTCTGTACATGTGCGAGTGTATATACGTAAAGCATATACACCGCTCGCGCCGCTGCCACTGCAATAGCATCACGAGTTAATATAATGCTCGACGCGCGCGCGCGCAAATATCGCTCTTCGCGGGGCTTCGAGCACGTTTTGCTTATCCATCTCCCCGTCGTCGCTTCGTACCCCCGCTACTCCCTCTGCGATGGTTATGGTGGGGGTAAAAGCTCGGGAGTGGGGATAGGCATCGGAGAAAGCACACGAGGGCCCCGAGGGTTCGCGTGATTGCGTCGGCGCGCAACATCATTTTCCGTATACATACACGCAGCCGAACGAGGGGGATGAAACGTCAGTGTGTTCGGGCGTATACGCGTGTACGTTTGTGTGCACAGCAGCACGCGCTGCACTCTATATAGCATCAGCAGCGGCAGCGGCAGCACGCGAGGATGAATCGCTCGGGTATATAAGACTTTATTGCCTCATGCCTATAGTAATACGGTGGCGCCGCGCCGTGCCAATAGCAATTTCTAGGCTATACACTTACCTTTAATATGGGCGGCGAATCAAAGAGCTGTTTACATATTACATTTTGCAATGAGATATTTTAATATACTATACATAAAAGTCGGGGTGCACGACAAAAAAATGATATCGTGCCGGGGTACACGGAGCCGCTCTTATACTACCGATAGATCGCTGGGCGGGAGAAAAAAAACAAATCAGCTATCGCATGCAGTACGCATATTGGAAATTCGTCGATGCAAGAGAGACAGAGAGAGAGAGAAGGTAGAGGGAGAAATGGGCGAAAGGCGAAAGGGTGAAAGAAAACACGTAGAAGAATGGGAGATCAAAATGAAGAAAAGAGTCGAAAGAATAAGTAGAAAGCTCAAAGGGGTGCGAAACGTTATAGGTATACAACGGCTGTACAAAAGGTGAAACGAGCTCTGAAGCGCAGGGCAAGGCGCTTCAAGCACTTAATTGGGATTCTTGCACGCTTTCGTTCTCTCTCTCTCTCTCTCTCTCTTTCATTTCTGCATGCTATATATGTATACACATTACGAGTTTATAGGACTAGCTTATGCTGCTACCGCTTGCAAGTTCTTCCATACCTTATATTCTACTATACTACCGATCGCACACAGACTAGCACTCGCGTGCGCGTACGCACACAGTCAAGGCGTTTGTTCATTATAGTTGTTTGGATCTTTACTTAATCGAATTCTTCCTTCTCTGGGTGTGCGGCGCCTCTTTCTCTCTTTTAAATACAATGAAAATTCCACGAGTATTCGGAATGATTTTTTTTAAGCTCAAGTTGAATTGATTTTTGCTTTTACACAGTTAAATTAGAAAAAATATACACGGGAAGCAAATTCGAGGAATGTTTTTTTATAGCGTTTGGTATCGAGTAATTATGATGCACAAACGCTAAAGTACAAAAAGTTCGAAATGAAAAAAAGCTCGTTTTCAACGGCTTTTTTAATTTGCCATAATCTCATTAATAAGGCAGCTGGCATCAAAAAGTGAATGTCAATCTTTCGTATCGCATAATGTATGTACGAATCGAACGAAAAACGAAACGAGGAAAAAATAAAAAGCCACACGCGGCGGTCTTAGCATATGGAGCACTCTGGATAATTAAAAAAATTGCAGCTACGATTCAAATTAATGCCGGCATCTAATCAAATACGTATAACATGGCAAAACCACTTCCTCATCCTCGCGAAAGATTGCCTTCGAGTCTCTCTCCCCTATGCACAATATACGCACGCACACTGACACACGAGAAAACTTCCCCAGCAGCGGTGTGTGCCAAAATATATATTATACGGCGGTGGCGGCGGCGGCGGCGAGCGCCACACGTCTCTCCTCGTCGTCGTCGTCGATCGAGGAGAAATTTGCAGCGGCGGCAGAAGTGGGATGGAACTCGTGGCGAGTGGGACAGCCCGGCGAGGGGTCGCACACACAGATATACGATTCGCACGGTAGTTCGGTCGGTGTCGCGCTGCTGTTGCTGCTGGCAGCGTGTAGTGTGCAGCGCACGATGCAGATCTCTCGATAGCCGCGAGAGGGGAAAATTTTATAAACACACAGAGAGCGGAGCGGCGGCTCGGTGGCGGCAGCATGAGCCGCTCCGCTCTCTCTCTCTCTCTCTCTTTCTCTCTCCGTATAAGCACGCGGCTCCTATGCCAACGGTAGCGCCGACAGTTTACCGCCGGCACTTCTCGCGTGCGCATCCTCTTAGCCGCACACCACTGCATGTGCAATACACAACTTGTATCGAAAGGTGCAGCATTAAGACGTTATTACAGAGACATATTGCGCGTACTGTGTTGTATATCGCCATAAAAAACGCATCGTATAAAAACGTGCTCGCGCGAATTATCGATACATCGTTTACTTTTGTTTTTGTCTGACGTATTTACGAAAAAACGTGTGATAATGTTTTTGTTGTGATTTGTTTGGTTTTTAGACTGCTGGTTGGACACTGCACTGCACGTGTTTGAGAAAAATAAAACAAAGAAAAAAGGACGTGACTTCGTGAGAGCGCACAATTGATTGATAACGTTAATTCATCGTTGTCGTCGTCGTAGTCGTCGTTTTTAAAATTGGAAAGCTACGGAAAAGCGGCAAAATTGCTCCCAACGTGAAGTCTACGAAGAGCTCCACTTCATTGTCATCAGGTACTTATCACAATAATAACTTTAAAATATTCAATGAACCTCGTTAGCAATATAAAATAAACAATAAACACCTCTCGAGTAACGCATGCCAAAAGCTCACGTGAACAATACCAATATAAATCCTTGAGCATACCCGAGACTTTTATTAGTCTTATTGTAAAAGGATACAGAGAGTAACAGAGAGAGAGAAAAAATTGCAATATATAGAGTCGCCTGAGCGAGTATCCGTATCAATTACTGATATAATATGCACGCGAAAAGTGATCAGCAGCAGCACCGTATATGTACGACACGCAAGAAGTAGCTGTCGTCGTGCCGTTACTGCCGCAGGGCTTCCTATATATATTTTATCATGTGATGTATAACGTGAGTTTAAGCTGCCAATATACACATTATACGAGCGCGAGTGCGCGGAGAGTAAAAGAAAGAGAGACAAAAAAAAAGAGAAGAAGATTCCTTAAAAGTTGTGTGCCGGTATAATCTCGGTGAGCCCCGCATGCGGCCTTTTCTCTTTACTCGCGCCAAAGGATTAATAAGACACGACGCGCGGCAGCAGGAGTTACGATATGCTTGAATTTATGCAAGTGTGCCTCTCGCTCTCTCACTCAGTATTATAAGTGATTAGCTCGTCCCGCTCGAATTACGTATCCGCGCGGCCGCAGAATAAATGGGCAGCGGCAGAATAAAAAAAAAAATAAAAAAGACACAACGAACGTCAATTTGAGTGCTTTAGCGCGTATTAAATGAGCGAAGTAGGCAGTCGCTCTCCTGTATATATTTATTATTATACATATACGAGGGCCGTCAGAAAATCTTTTAACCGAGTGCTGCACGCGCGATATCATTGTTATATATACAACGCCGAATAGCTACAAGATTATTCCATCAAGCGTTTTCATGATACAATGAGCGCTGCACAGCGCGCCGAGTTCTCGCATATATACACACTCACACTCCGATATATAGACAGATCTGTGTATAAGCAAATCGAGCCGAATTTACATTCCATTTCTCATAACCATTACTCGCTCTCTTTCTCGGTTCTCTCGCTCTCTTTCTCTTTCGAATGCGACACAAAAACTCACTCAGCCAACCTTTCACGCAATTATAAACATCGCATGCATGCGTATTAATACGTGCAATTGACACCGTATACATATATAACGACCGAAGGATTTCGTAATGCGCCTATCGTATTCATCTTTTTTATATGTATACCCGCATACTGTGACGCAATGAAAAAAAAGTAAAGAAGTAAATAAATAATTTAAAAAAGAAACAATGTAATATTTGAAAGGAGATTATAATCATCGTCATCGCAGAATGTATACGAAGCTGATGTAGTTTGCCGAGAGAGAAAGAGAGAGAGACAGTCGAATCGAGCGTGCTGATTGCACACCACGGGCTGCACACACCCGGCAGCAGTTCGCTAATTCGTTCTGAAACGAGAAATCTCTCTCTCTCTCTCTTGCACGCACACGAACGTACATACACACGGCACACCAAGTCATCCCTCGAAAAGGTCGTTTAACTGGCAGACTTCCAGCAATGCATGGGCTATATACGCAGCGCATCCCCTCGATGTTATGAACCACTTCTCTCTCACTCTCCACTATATATAGGGTATATATGCGCCCGCAGCCGCTTTTTTGCTTCTTTTCCAACTTTTTTTTCCTCTCGATTTTTCATTTGTTATTACTCGACCCGCATTCGATTAGCATTGAGGTTTTCAATGAAATAAATGAGTTGCTGCGCGCTAGCTATATGCTGCTGAGCGCGTATGACACGGATCTCTATAATGAATATGCAACTAAATCAAGAGCTTCGGTTCCATACGTGTCTTATGCATTTTATTTCACCATTTTTTATTTATTCTAACTTTAGCTCTAATCCATGTAATATTTTTTTTTCTTCGTTGCGACCGTATAATAACTTTATTATTAGCGCGACGTCATCGCGCGCGTATCAAAGTTCGAGCGGTTTATTCATTCGGAGGGATTAGACGTATCGCGCTGTGTGCACGCGCGCGCGTTTACTCGGCTCGCTCGCTCTCGAGGCTTTAACGATGATTTAGTGCTTTAATCGCTACACATATTATACACGATTTGCTGTCTCTCCATATAACGGCTATACGTAAGCTTTTGAAAAATTTGTCGCGTATATATAATAATAACGATAATAATCATGTGACCAAAGTCGCACGTAACAAAGTGATCGTTATTCGAATTAAGCCCCCCCGATACGCGGGCGATTATTATATACACACGTATATACTCGGCGCGATGATAAAAATGTCGTCGTGCCAGTCGTACATAATAATGTGTACAGAAATAAATAAAAATCACGTAGCAGCAGCAGAAGCAGAAGCAGCAAAAGAAGAAGAATAAGACGTAATCGAAAGAGCAAGTGTGTGTGTGTGAGTATACGCGTGCATGTATACTGTGTGCAGTCGTTCACGAGCTCGGCACACAGCCGTGCACATGTGTCCGTTTCACGTCTTTGGCTCTCGATAATTGGCGCGCCAGGGCTATATAAACAGGCGCGTGCAGTACGACGAGCGAGAGAGAGACGTACTGTATACCACACTGCGCTGTATATACGTATATAAAGCACGAGGCACAGGCACAGAGCTCGTTAGGCCGCTCTCGCGTAGCGCAGAGCAACTACACCAAGAGAGAGAGAGAGAGAGAGGGAGCAAGACAGAGAATAGCTTAATTATTTTGTTTGAAGTTCGAGAATGGGGTTTATGAGATAGCCTCGCGCGCTGCCGCACCACCGGCACCACTGACGCGCGCGTACGTATAGTTTATATATCGGTATCGTACGTACGAAATAGCTTGGCTGCTGCCGCGCCTAGAGTAGCGCGCCTTATTTGCACTAGCTCGGCAACGAACGAACGAACGAATCGGGCGGGCGCTGCGCGTTTATTTAGCTAAGCCAACAAATTGGCGGAGCTAATTAGCCAAGTAGCATAGAAGCGGTGGCTGTGCAGCAGCGGCGCGACTCTGACTTGGCTCGCGCGCGCTTCGCCTCGCATTTATATACAAAAGCGGAAACGCGCGCCTGCACGAGGACTGCAATGCCCATACTGTAATACTGCAAGACTGCAGAACGCGCAGCCAGCCCTTCTTGCTACTGCTGCTTGTGTGAGTTGGAACTTTATTTTCCTTCTCCTCTTTATCTCTTTCCTTAAAGATTATAATAAACATATAAGAGCTTTACGTTCGCTAGCTCGAAGCAGCAGCAGCAGCAGCAGCTTTTGAACTTAATTGTTGATTGTGAATATAGCAGGAGGTTACAAGTATATAGATGTATAAAAACAACATCCAAAGAGCTTTGTGTGGCTTTGCCGCGTGCCGGCACACGGCACCCCTTCTGCAGCCTCTGTATATGGTATAAACTCCTCTTCCTGCCTCGCAGAACTCCTTCACTTACTCAGCTCGTTTAATCGAATATTTTCGAAGCCGAGCTATAGCAGCAGCAGCAGCCTTTTTGTTCTCTTAATTACTGACATTTAATAAAATGCCATTGCAACGAGCAACTCTGCTGCTGCTGCTACACTACAACTATACAGCGATGCAAAATTTATTAATTGTCTACGCGAGTATTCCCGCGGAACTGCCGCTACAGAGTTGCTTTCCTCCTCTCGAGAGCACTCGATACTCGATTATTTGCGAAATAACTTAGATTTTGAATAATTATTCGGGGCAACTTGTGCGGGAAGTGAGGTACGGTAGAGAGCAGCCACGCCGCGAAACGTATGGAAAAAATCTACAAAAGCGTGAGTAAAATCCGATAGCCTGCCATTTAACTGCTTCACTGCAATACACCGGAAGCTCTTTTCGTTACTGCATTTAATTTGACTGTGTGTGTGTGTGTGCGCGCGCGCGAGTTTTATCGCTGGACGATTATCGGCAAAATATCGTAACGGTCTATACACATCTGGCTCGAATATAAAATTATTAATCGATAATTTATAATCCAGCTCTCGTGTAGTGGCGAACGCGCCGGGGTGGGCTAATAGAATGCAAATATACAAATATAACAAAAAAACAAAAGAGAGAAAATAAAAGAATGAAAGACCATGCACCGAGTGCGTAGTGCGTACTGATCCGATGATCGTTTTCAAATAGAGCTAAATGCACACGAGTTTATGATAGATAATATCGTTTTATGTTTTTCGAACAAAAAAAAAAGATCGAATTATATACGTACACACGGACGAGGCGTGCGATAAGAGTGCGTGAGCGCGGAGATGAAAATAACGAGCCGGTCGACGCACGGACGCACACCAGGGGGATGATGATACCAAATGAGCAAATAATAATATCGGCCGTTGCTGCCACTGCTGCTAATGATGATTTTTCGTCGAGTATTCGAATGAGAGAGAGAGAGAAAGAGAAAGAGAGAGTAACAGCATCAGGAGAATAATTAGTCATGGCGCGCGAGTGTGCAGGGAGGTAAACATTCGCGAGCGCGCAAAATCGACCAATGAAGAGAGCGAGAGCTCCGCGCGCGCGTCCAGTCATTAGCAATAATGAAAGCTCTCCCCGAACGTTAAAGAGCGGAACAGAAAAGTGACCGAGAGAGCTTAACTCTCTCTCTCTCTCTCTCGCTCGCTCGTTGTAGGGGTTGCTGCTGCGCCACTGATTGTTAACGCGTTGATTATCCATTTACATTCGATGATTATACGAGTATTGATAGAGCCCGCGCGCAATGAGCGATTTTTTCCCTTACACTCGAGAGAAAAAAAAAGAGAAAAAATGTTTGTTACAATCCGACAAATTTGAGGGCTCAAAAGTAGTTTCAAGTCAACAACAATTTTATTCAATTTTTAGAAAGAATTTTTCTTCTTTATTCCATTGCATTGTTTAAAACTCTAAAATTTTGCTTTTTTGCTCAGATATCATGAGCCTTTCCTGTAACTGTACACTTTGCAGTTTTTTCTTCTTTTGCGTTCTCTGGCTTTCCGTATTTTTCAAAAATGCCTTGACGCGTCG